GGCTGAGTGCCACGTTCATGATTTCTGCCCTGTCTTCACGAACGTGTCCTAGCACTTATTTCTGTCCTTAACTATTTCTTTCCTCAAGTGAACTTTGAAAAGGAAACTTTATATTAATATGATAAATCAGAGTCTCTCAACCACAGCACTGTTGACACTTGGGACCAGGGAGGTCTGTTGTGCGGGGCTAGTCTGTGCAGGGTAGGAAGCTCAACAGCATCCCTGGTTTCTACCCAACTACACACCAGGAGCAGCCCTCCCCAGGCACGACAACCGGAAATGTTTCCAGATATCGCCAAATGCCTTTGGGGAGAGGGGGGCAGAATGCTCTCTGGCTGAGAACCTCTGCCATAAATGGAAAACTGCTATTTTTTCTAAAGCACACAAATATTCACTTAATAATTAACATGTCATCTGAAATCATCTTGTGTTGCCCACTCAGGGAATAAGCCCAAAGCCAGAAGGAAGGCAGCACCATGTGAGGGGGACTCCCCTGGATTCTGGAGTCGGGGCCCGTGTCGGAGCTCTGTGATGCCTGGACACGTTCCTTAGCCTTCTGAGCCTCAGTTCCCTCACTGGCCAAAGGCAACAAGGACAGCACAGCCCCCACAGGGGTGCTATAGGACCACACACACATGCATCAACTGGCTACTGGGGGTGCCGGCACCACGCTCCGCCTGTGCTCCTAAGAGAGGGGCTGGGGCAGATTTCCACGCGGCACACATCCCGCCGAGGGCCTCATGCTAGTAGATGCTAGCAAATAGACGCAGGCGCTGCAGGGAGGCCTCTAATCCTTCCCACAGCCTGCAGGGCAGCTGGAACTAGGGCAATCAACTCTACAGTCAAGGCCAAGTACCAGCGCTTCTTACCTCCCCGGCCCAGGGATGTGTTTAGTTTGGCATATGTGAAAACGAACGAACAAACAAACAAAAGAAGGAAAAAAGAGAAAATGTTTTAAAAATTGGAAGATGCTGCACAAAGGCTTGGATTTCTGGCTTGTGAGGCATCGTCAGTGGCTACAATCAGGGGAACTGAGTGAGGCTGTCCTCTTTAGCAAAGACACGTGCACTCTGGTTTGCTGTGGTCCTCACTCCTCCCTAATGTCCACCACCTGGTGGTCCTCCTCTCTCACTGACACCACCCGTCTGCCTTCTCTAGTTGCCTGAGTTTGCTGCTTCTCCCACACAAGGACTCCTCTTCTCCTTCCTTGTGAATTAATATTAAAGCTACTACTCACAGGACTTAAAAAGATGTCACCAAACATCAAGGGAATTTAAAACAAGGCTTTTGGAAATGCTGGTCAAAACAGAACAGAGTTTGTAACTTTAAACATTAATGCTTGTTTCAAAGAGGCTAACTATAGGGGCACCTGGGTGGCTCTGTCGGTTAAGTATCCGACTCTTGATTTCGGCTCAGGTCATGGTCTTGGAGTCCCGGGGATCGAGTCCCCCGTTGGGATCCACGCTCAGTGGGGAGTTTGCTTGAGATTCTCTCTCTCAAAAAAAAAAAAAAAAGGAGGCTAAAGATTGATGAATATAATTGTGTTTACTTACTGTGAAGAAAAACTAAATGAAGATTTAAACAAATGTACATGCAAAGCCTTTAAAATAAGTCACCACTGACATGAAGGTGAGTGGCTTTATTTAAAAAGTAAATGTCAAGCTGGAGGAGGCAGGCGGGGAAAGGCCAGAAGGGTTGGAAGCGAAGTGAGCTGGTAGGGATCCCGGACTGATGTGGGGTTGGGGGTTCTACCCTCTGTCACTCATACCCTTCCTCAACCAAGCACACACGTATTTCTGCTTAAACCAGGGGATGGTAAATGCCGCCTCACAGATCAAAGCAGGCCCACTGTCTGGTTTTTCAAACAGCGTTTTGTTGGAACTCAGCCACGTCTGCTCACTTACGTTATGATTTTGGGTGTTTTTGTGCTACCTGGCGGGACTGACAAGTTTCGACAGAGACCTATGGCCCACAAGGCTTTTGAGACGTGAACCTTCCCACTAGATGAATGTGGTGAGGGAGTCGCTCTGGTTTACCAGTCTGGGGAAAGAGCACAGTTCCTGGAGGTCATTCTGAATGCCTGCTAACTGGGGACCAGAGTCTTGGCATGCTCCTTAATGTCCAGGGAGGACCACAAAAGAAAGACCTGCCAGCGGCCTCCTCATGGTCGCCATTGTGATTTTGTGGCCTTTGGGCTGTGGACAGCTCCTCCTTCCTTGCGACTGACAGCAAGGGTGACTCCATTTATCTGCACCCCCATCCGCACCAAGAGCTCTTGTTATCCCCACTTTACTGACGAGAACGCTGAGCAGAGACCGCCTGAGGAGCCAGAGTGAATAAGGGGCATTGGCTACCGGGGTGACGTGACTCCAGAAGCTGCTTGCCAAGACTCTGCCAAGATGGCACGCGTGGATGCCTGACGGCCGGAGCTGCAGACCCACACGCCCCAACCCTGGGGCAGCAAATCCGCAAGGTTCACCAATCCCAATGACTCATTGCCTCCCACCTGGAACTGGCCCAGGTCCCCCACTGCTCTCTAGTTTCACGAGGTATGAACACTCCCAACCTAAGCTCTCAACAGCCATCTTTGTCAGAACTATGGGCAAAGACGTGTTTAAGAGGAACAGGTGGAGAATACCTCCTCGCCAGAGCCCTGAGTCCACAGGCACAGCCGCTCAAGCTTGAAAATCCATTCTCGACAAGGCCTACCACTGGTCTTCGGAGAAACCCCACTGGTCCAAGCTGCCACTGCCATCACCTCCTAACTGGGCTTCTTGCGTCCCTTCTTGCCTCCCCTGTATCATCTCCACAAAGAGGCCAGAGGGGTCTTTCAAAAAGGCTAATCAGATGAGCAAGTCTCCCGCTAAAATCCACCACTGGTTTTCCATTTCAATTAGAATCAAATCCTCAGCATGGATGATGAGCCCCCTCCTGGTCTGAGCTCTGCCCAACTGTGAACTCATCCCTTATCCCTCCCTCCTGACTCTCTAGGGTCCACACACACTGGCCTTGGGATCGCTCCTCGGCCACTCCCAAATCAATCCCGGCTTTGGGTCTCTGGATCGGCTATTCCTCCTGCAGCCTAGAACGATCTCCCAGGGATCTCCACATGGCTACCTCCTCACCACTTGGGTCTCTGCTCAAGTGTCATTCCGTGACCACTCGATGCCACACTGCCCCCCTCCCCAACCCAAGCGCTCACCACTATTTGACGTTACGCACTCGTTCACTGGAATATCCTCCAGCTCCCCCACTAGAACAGAAACCCCCGGAAGAACAGAAGCCTGCCTTGATCTGTGTTCCATTCCCAATGTTTCATGAGGTGCCCGGTACACAGCGGGTACTCCATAAATATTTAATATCTTCCAATGCAAGAAATTCTACTGTCTCACAGTAATTCCTAGAGGAAATGTCACCGTTCATGTCGGAATGGCTTCAAACAGCTTTATAAGCTGCCCAGTATTTCCTCCACTCAACTCCACAGAAGGCTACTCTACACTTTTCCTGAAAACCAGGACAAACTGAGCAACACCCATAGGAAACCCAAACTTCAAAAAACGAGTCCATACCAGCTTTAAGGAGGAACGTAATTCAAAACATGAAAATTTATTCTAAGTTGTATCTTAACATACGAGATCTCAGCTTTAGATGAATTTTAATGTTTACAAGTGCAAAAGCAAATAAATATTTACCAGTTGCTTTTTTTTTTTTTTGCACTCTTATAACTCCACAACAGCTTAGATGCAAAAAAAATTGTTGCTAAACATCTTGTAGTCTGGCAAAAAGAAGAATTTCTTATTAAGAAAACCCCTCACAACAATAACAACCCCTCATGCTCACGGCTGCCTCGCAGAGACTATCAGGACGGTTCGGTAGGATCTGAGCACATAGATAGAGCACAGAATCACTACCGGTCAGGGTGACGGGGATCACCACCTCAGGGCGGAGGCCAGACCAGCCATGCCGCGGCCTCACCATCCATAAGCTGGGTTATGCGTACGGCAAACGGGGCTCTGGCATAGAGAGCCCCATTGCTTGGGCGAGGCCGGTGGGTTAACACCAACTCTCCCCACTCGGGGGCATCTCATGCTTTTGGTTTCAGGGTGCAGGTCATGTCCCCAGATTGGCCTATGTTCGTTAAGATGGGTCCCTGCCCTCCTCATGATTCTCTTCAACAGTACCTGCTTCTTTCCTGTTACCGTTCACCATCTTCAACCTCAGTTAGCTCATTTACTGGCTAGCCAGCCACCCTGTTTGCCTGCTCTGTACCGCCCTGCTTCCCAGCTTCCCAGCGAGTGCGCTAGCTCAGCGTCACCATCGCTGTGTCCTTTAGGCAGTCAGCAAGCCTCAAAAGGCAGGGGCTGTGCTTCCCCCCGGCCCCAGGGTGGCACCCACCCCGTGCCTGGCACCAAACAGTCCCTAAACCCAGGCGCTGAGTAAGTGAATAAGGAGTGAAATCTTAATGAAGAAACTTAAGATCGATGTCTTTTTTTATTCATTTCCTTCACTGTGTAGTTTATTTCTTCTTAAAAATTGTATTTATTTATTTGAGAGAGAGCAAGAGAGCACACCAGCAGCGGGAGGGGCAGAGGGAGGGGAGAAGCAGACTCCCCTGCTGATCCAGGGGCCCCGAGATCATGACCTGAGCCGAAGGCAGACGCTTAACCGACTGAGCCACCCGGGGGCCCCTCGCTGTGTAGTTTAAATCCTTGGAGTTATTCTGAGGGAAGTAGATTTTATCAGGAAACAAATATCACAGAAGGTCTTATTCCAGCCGCAGTGAGAGAGGAGGTTATTCTTATAGGATAAAAAACAGAGAGAGAGACAGACAGACAGACAGACAGACAAATACACGCACACACATCTTTTATGCCAGGAACATCTACAATTTCAGGAACATCAAGCACTTTCTGGAGCTTCATCTCCCATCCCTATTTCTTTTTAAAGGGCGAGCCTGCTCACAGCAGCGTGGAGCCTCAGGTGAGGGCCGGGCCACTTACCTGGATTAACCGTGATAAATTTGCTATCCTCGGAAAATCGGTCCCCTCGGGACACGGGCTTTTTTGACGGCGCCTGGGGCCTCCTGGGGTCGCTCCCTTCGAAGCGCTCCTCTGTGGCCGTGGGGGGCCCCGGGGTGGCGGTGGCCGGGCGGGCGCCCCCCGCGGCATCGGGCTGGTGTGTGGGGGCCGCGGTGGGGTCCCGCCCGGGCCCGGGCAGGGTCTGACGCCCGCCGTCCTCGGCGGTCCCGCTGGGAGACGGGGCGGGGGTGGGCTCGTCCTGACGCGGCTCCTGGGCGGCGTGGCCCGGCCGGCTCTTCTTCTTCTCGGCGTCCTTCTCGCCCTCGTCCTCATGCTCTCGCTCCCCGTCTTCACTGTCGCTTTTCTCATCCTCCCCTTCCTCCGCGCCCTCGCTGTCCTCGGTCGGGGCCGGGTCGCCGTCGGGGCCCGGGGCAGCCAAGGCCTCCGTGGTGGCCAGGACGGGCCTGACCGCCTGCTTGCTGGCCGAGGCGGCCGTCGGCAGGCGCGTGGGCCACACGGTGCTGGGGAAGGAGGGGATGCCGCCGCCGCTGAAGCCCAGGCCGGCCAGGAGCGTGCTGGTGACCACCGAGGCCACGGTCGCCTGGCTGCCGCTGGAGGACGGGCCCATCCCAGTCGCCATGGAGACAAATGAGAAGGGGATGCCGGAGGAGGTCCAGGTCGAAGACCCCGAGCTGATGGGGGCCATGTCAGCCGACGGGGCAGGAGACGCCGTGGGCTTCAGGGGGTCGCCCGGGGAGGGCAGGAGAGGGGACAGGAGAGAGAGCAGAGTGGTGTCAGTCATCAGGATTGGGGAAGAGGCCCTGCTTAGGACCCTTCATGGGTTTTACTCATCTTTTATTTTCCTCACAGGGTCTCTCGCAGAGCAGTGCCAAAGCCGCAAGGGGTGATTCGCGGTTGACCACCCCTGGTCTTAATGGTTTTACAACAACTGTGAGTGCATTAAAAATTTTCACTAGCATATCAAACCCAACTTTTCACCCCAACTGCTTAGGAGGAAGCCAACTGCCAAAAAAAAAAAAAAAAAAAGTAAGTACCATTGAAGTTGGCATAGAAATAAATATCAACTAAGTAACAAAGCGGCAACATCAATCGGATGGCCGAATGATCCCAGGGTGACACTGGGAGAGACAGGAGCCCTTGCTTTTTCATATACCAGTGGCCCTTGTGGAGAGCATCCAGCAGCGAGGTCTAGAAAAGCCCTCTGGAGCGGCCCCCCGTGCCTGCAGAGGCAGGAGTTACAACCCAACACGGCACGCTTTGGAACGGGCTGACAGCCGCCGCACCTCCCAGAGTCTCTGGCTCTATCCACGGCGAAACCTACGCCCACGTACGTGGCAACAGGAGAAATTCCATTTGACAAGTACCAACTGTGTGCCAGGCCTTCCCACCCTACCCCGGAGGCACACAGGATCATCACCCCATTTTACAGGTCAGGAAACCGGGGCACAGAGATGCTCAGGGCTGGAGGGAGGGCTGCCTGTGTGCGAGCCCCAGCTCATTCTTCCCACCACACTCAACTGGGGCTTATGTGTGGGAGCCACACCTGGTACCTTGGGGAAAACAAGAAATGTTGCTCTAAGTTATCCGTTTTAATTTTAGTTCTTATAACCTGGTGTACAGAATCCAGATCTGCATCCCATCACTTCTAGGGTTCCAAACAACACAGCCAGAACAACTTTGATTTCATAACATGATCAGCAAATTGTAGTTGGGAAGCTTTGTAGTTTATGAGGGTCAAGTTAGCAAATGTTAGGTTCTGAAGCTGGTTAATGAAATGCCAAATGCCACGTAAGATAAGGCACCCAAGACAGAGAAGTCAGACGATCTGGGCTTGAGTTAACAGGCCCCTGTCTGGGGGATGCATCGCTTTTAACTCACTGGACCTCAGTTTCCTCATCTGTAAAATGGGAACCACAGGAACACCAATCTCGTGGGATGCCGCCAGGAGTAAATAAAATAATAAAATAATCTGTGCCTAAAACCCAGGAAACGCCAGTAAATTTTAGGCTACTACTATTATCACCAACACTGTGGTTAATATTATGATTGTTAGTTACACTAGAAATGGCAAAGCTTAGATATTAATTGAGGCTCCAGAAATTTGCAAATCCATGTAACGTTGGGAAATGACAACCTGTGAATTTTAGCACATGTCCAATGAAGGGCTTGGAAGAGACCTTTTGCACTCCTAGCTTGTATGATCCCACAGATGATAAATAATTTAAAATCTGGAGAGTTTTTATCTTGATAAAACTTGTACAGTGCAACACAACTGCTTTAACTCTGTTGCACAGCTTCTTTTCATAACATAAACAGTGAGAAATGTAATTGTTTCTGTATTTTCACCTCTTCATGAGCAGTTTAACAACATCATACTGCCACCTCGTGGTGACAGTTTTAATTGCATGTGAATTAACAACAGGCTGCGACAAAGCAATTACCATCTGCTACTTACCACTCCTGTTTTAACAATTCTGGTCCCTTGGAATATTCGAGTGGTATTAGCTGAAACAAAGAAATTACATTGTAAGAAATACACATTTTTTGTAGTTCCAACAAAACTTAAGCTTTACATATAATTCCCACATGTCACGAGATAGTATTCCTCTGCAGACTTTCTCCCCAAACATTAAAAAATGTGAAACCCTTCTTAGCTTGTGAATCATTAAAGAACTTTCAGAATGCTATATAGTTTGCTGGCTCTTGTCTTAAGCTATTAGTTTAAAATTTGTTTTTGAATTTTTATTGTTTTCTGTTTTGAAGTGCAACTTAAATAAATATACAAAGCTTAGGTATGTAGTCTAATTAATTTTCTTTGTAAACACCTGTGTGACTACCACCTGCACGGAGACATAGACAGATGTTCTCCAGGACCCCAGCAGGTGTGAATACGCCCCACTCAATACCTGCCCCACCTTTCCGAAAGGTAACCACAATTCTGACCTCTGTTAGAGTTTTGTCTATCTTTGAACTTCATATAAGTGGAATCATAGTATTCCACTATTCCTACCTGTTATCTTTCTTTAAAGTTTATTATTATCATCCCTTTTTAGTAATCTCTACACCCAACATGGGGTTCGAACTCACCACCCTGAGATCAAGAGCCATATGCTCTCTGACCAAGCCACCTTCAATACCTATTATTTTTTGTGTATGATTTCTTATGTTACCCATTCAGTCATTGTAATATGAATCCTGAATTTACTGTAGTGTACCTTAAATTAGTACTTTTACCACTTGCTAAAAACATAAGAGCTGTACAATAGTTTAACTCTATTTGCCTGCCTCACCTTTTGTGTATTGTCATATATTTTTTCTAAAGTTTTGAAACCCTGTAAGATATTGCCATCATTGCTTTAAGTGGTCAAATTCTTATATGACCCACACAATACTCGTGCTGGTGTTCCTCCTTCTTGCAGTATTTTTTGGCCATATGTTAGTACTGTAAACACAACTGCTTTAACTCTGTTGCATAGCTTCTTTTCATAACATAAACAGTGAGAAATGTAATTGTTTCTGTATTTTCACCTCTTCATGAGCAGTTTAACAACATCATACTGTTGTTAAACAGTATCATCATTTTCAGTAGAACTGAAAAAAAATGTTTAATTGTGGTAAAATGCACATAACATAAAACTTATCATCTTAACCACGTTTAAGTGTGCAAATCAGTAGTGTTTAAGTATATTTTCATTGTTGTGCAACCAATCTTCAGAATTTTTTCATCTTTCAAAACGGAAACTCTGTACACATTAAACAAGACCCATTTCCCCCTTTCCCCCACTCTTTCTACACATTTGACTACTCTAGCTACTTCATGTAAGTGGAATCATACACATTTGTCCTTTCGTGACTGGCTTATTTCATTCCACATGATGTCTTTAAGGTTCATACAAATGCTGGACCATGTGTCAGAATTTCTTTCCTTTCAAGGCTGAATTATAATCCATTGTATGTGTATATATGCCACATTTTATTTATCTATTCTTTGTCAGCAGACATTTGGGTTGCTTCGCTATTGTGAATAATGGGAAACAGTGTAATTAAAAAAAATGCCTCTTTGTGGTTATCTCAAAAAAACAGTACTGTTACATAAACTAAAAGTTTGCTTCCTAGACATACATGGCACTGAAATATCAGCAAAAAAAAAAAAAAAAAAAAGGCTAAATGCCAAAATAAATAATACGTGTACCTGTTGTAAGTTTTTACCTAAACCAGAGGTGGCCAATGACTGATACAGTTTTTTGTTTGGCTGGCAGGCTTTCTTAAAAACTGAATTTGTTGCAGTAGCCTTCAACCTAAAAAATCCCAATTTCCCCCTATCCTGAAAAATCTCAATATTCGGTAAAACTGAACTCTCCTTCCTGCTGGGGCTGAGCGTCCCTCACTCCCTTTTGGTGGACGTAGGATCTCGATAACCCTCCCCTCCTCTGTACAGGCTCCCTGCACGGCCCCAGGGGCATGTCAGTCTGCAACCCCCAACCTAATGATACATTCATTTTGCACAGTTGTGAAGTCCAACGTGTGAAGAGACAGATGTGGAGAAGAGACCCATCTAGAAGTCAGGACAACCAGGTCAAACACAGCAGCCTTGGAATCGAACAGCTCTTGCCTGGTTCAAGTCGGGGTGACTAGGACGTTTCTCCAGGACCGTTCAGATCCAAAGCGCTGAACCTGGTGCCCACGGGCCTAATGGGATCCAGGGACGGGGGAAAATTGCATCTGCCTTCCCCCTAAGCTCTCACTGACATGTAGCGTTTCCTTCCACCATGAAAGCAGGCAACAAATCTCAGCCACACTAGCGGGACCAGTGGCTTTGTCTCTGACCTAAGTCAGATATTTTTATACTGCCTTCTAATTGTCATAGCTAGTTTGGAGCATCATTTATGTTCATCACCACTCAGAAATCACAGTAGCCAACAGACCTACTGCTTGTCAGTCAATGCTTTAATAAAAAAAAAACAAAACATATATGACTACATCCAAATTTGTTTAAAATATTTTGACAACTGTATTTGGATATAATTTGTTCCCTTTCCTATGTATTTTGCTTATTTTTGTTGAGTTACTGGGGTTACAGGGTAATATTTACTCTTTAGGGGTGATCTGTTGCTGCGTGTAAATGACTGGGCTTTGGAATAAGAAATTCAGACCCCTCTTACTAGCCAAGTGATTTCTTCTGCAAGTTACTTGACTGCCTAGAAAATCATTTCTCCATCTGTAAAATAGCAGGAACATTACAAGCTGCCACGGGGTCAGATGACATAACTAATGGGAAATGTAACTGTGAGCCATTCTGCAGATACCACTTGCTACTATTACTGTTATTATATTTACCACACTGAGGCAAATAGGTAACATTTATTACATTATACAGAACATAAATAGTGTTATATTTACTATAATGTAAAGAGTCCACCTGGCTTCCTCATGCTCCCAAACCAGATGTAAATTTCATCACTGGGAAACCCAATTATTCTGAGCAATGCCTTTGTGAAAATCTCTATGCTTTTCCCTCTTCCCTTTTAACACTTAAGTCCTAATTGTTGCTCAGTATTGTACACTGGGCCCTACTTCTCAAAAATGCATACTTGGGGGCACCTGGGTGGCTCAGTCAGTTAAGCATCTGCCTTTGGCTCAGGTCATGATCCCAGGGTCCTGGGATCGAGCCCCTCATCGGGCTCCCTGCTCGGCAGGAAGCCTGCTTCTCCCTCTTCCCCTCCCTCCTCGGCTTGCGCACTCTCTCTCTCTCAAAAATAAATAAATAAAATCTTTAAAAAAAAATGCATACTTGGCTCCCAACAGGAGGTGTGCGAGCCTACCCAAAGGTTTAGCTGGTACATTGGCTGCTGGCTGCTGTAGGGAAGACAGGAAAGCTACCACGGGGAGGAGCAGGGGATCATGCCCCTCTGTCAACACATAGGGACAAACACCAATATATAAAACGAGTCAACTCACATCCACCTCTGAACAAAGTGAGTCCATACACAAAGGAGACACTGGCCATTTCCGACAAGTCTCTGTGATCAGACATTTTAAATATTCCATGCTTGGAATTTATAGCTGACAAGGCCTTTTTGAATTACATTACATTACAAACATTTAATTTTTCAAAGTCCACGCAGAAGCCAGCAAGCTCGGGGGCCTATTAATCAGGAAAGGCACTCTGCAGAGCCCAATTCTCGGTCGGAGCACAGGGGAGGCTTAATCATGATTTATGTGTCCAAAGTTCCAGGGCCCCGGCCTCAGCAAGCTCCCACGATGGCCTCCCATTCTCTCTCCCCTGGGTTGGCACAGACCTGGCTTCGGCCCCCTGGACCCTCCTCAATGCGGCCAGAGCCGCCAAGACACCCAGGGCACAGGTGGACTCGGCGAGCGTGATTTATGTGGGCAAAATATTCAGCCATGCTCATTTCAATTAGTTTAAAAGGAAGGGTGACATAATGTGAACATGAGCAAATAACAGTTAAAGGCCAAACTATAAAGCTAGGAGGGATCCTCAGAGGGAATCGAAGGCTGGAGGGCTTCTTGACGGGTTCATCATTTATTATTTTTTAGATCAAACCGAATCTCAGGGGCTATTTATGGATGGTACCAGGCACTCTGCATGTCATTCCCACAAGGCCCCTGTGAGGTGGGTACTGTCACTACTACCACTTTTCAGACTGGGACACTATAACTTGGAGAAACTTATAAACATTCTCTGAGTCCCACCAGCGCTGAGTGGCAGCCGGACTCAAACCTGGGGCCCCCATTCCGGGGCCCCGGCTCTGGACCAGCACTTCTGTTTTCACTGGGCAGGCCAGTCACCTGGGCCATCTGGTTAGAACTCAGATTCCCGGCCCGACCCTCAGAGATATTGAGGCAATTGTTCTGGGAGGGGCCCAGAAATGTGCATTTCTCACAGACTTCCAGATGATGCTGATGCTGCTGGTCCACAGACCATGGGCTTCATGGGGCCCCCTAAGCTGTATGCGAAATTCTGGCATTCTCTATGGAAAAGGTCCAATGCCCTCGTCAGATACGTGACTCAAAAAGATTAAGAACCACTGGTTTGGTGTGGAGGTTTCTCTGAAATGGGAGATCCTGGAAGGAAAGGACCTTATCAGAGAGGACCTTAGGCTGGCAGAGCAGGGCCCAATGCCCTGCCCCGGCCCCTCCCCAATGCTGGTCTTGATGCCTGTTGCCAAACCATGTCAGCAGACTAGGGTCCACAGCCCGGCTGCTTATTTTTGCAAATAAAGTTTCAGTGGAACCAGGGTTGGGATTAGCTTGGGACAAGTGAGACAGAGTGGATCCTATCTTTATTTAGGATTTGGGTATTTTTGGGGCGCCTGGGTGGCTGTCGGTTAAGTGTCTGCCTTGGGCTCAGGTCATGATCTCGGGGTCCTGGGATTGAGCCCCACGTCGGGCTCCCTGCTCAGCGGGGAGTCTGCTTCTCCCTCTCCCTCTGCCTGCCGCACCCCCTGCTTGTGCTCTCTCTCTGTCAAATAAATAAATAAAATCTTAAAAAAAAAAAACCTGGGTATTTTGTCCACAAACTTTTTTTTTTTTTTTTTTTTTTTTTTTTTTTTTACTGATTTTGCTTCTAAAATTTTTTTCATTAAAATATATCTCGATGACTGAGTTTTTGGGTATTCTCTTAAGTTTTGCACCAAGGTAAATGCCTCTCTTGCCCCACCCTAGTCCTGGCCCTGGAACTTTCCACTAGACCCTCTAGCAGCAGGTACATGCATCTATTTCTCAAGAAGCATCCTGCAGGCAGGGGCTCATTTGTGTGGCTTGCGAGCTAGAAGAGTGTGCCGTATGTTTGGGCTCTAGTTCTTAAGAGAAGAACTAACTGAATCAGGCTGGAAATCCAAAGATGATATGCTACAACATGACTGGGAGGCAAATTTGTGATGACAGTGTTAGAAAAATACTTGGTTGGTTCCTCATAGTTGGAAAAATATCAATAGTAAAATAAATAATCAACACTTTGCTCTTTTCTCCCCTCTTCTGGCCTATGAAACCCTCAACCTAAAAGACAGACCTAAATTCCTGAGGCGTTTCAGGTGGGATTTAAAACTCCACCCTGATTCTTAGGCTAGCCTTATTTATTTATTTTTTTTTTGGTCCCAGTCCCTTCACAGGAAAAAAGATAAAGCAGCATAAAGAAGGAGGGGCGCAGGGCCACTCAGGGCCAGAAAGAAGGGAACCGGCCTTACCTTGAAAGAGCATTGTCTGGCTGAAGTCACTGCGCATGTCATTCCGACACACGGCCTGGACTCGGAACAGGTAAAGGCTATCAGGTGACACGTGGCTAATGGTGGCTTTCTGCAGGTGAAGAAAGAAAAGGCAGTGAGTTGGTTCTGAAGGTCGCTGCATGCTTTACCTTCTGAAGCCGAACCTAAAATCAGGTGAAGTATTCCTTTTAGGTTTCTGGGTCCCATGGCCAAGCTTGAGAGCCATGATATACTTCCCTACTGACCAAAGGCTCACTTTGAAAGGGAAGGAAGTTCCGAAATAACTGGCTGGGAGTCTGTTTTCAACACTCACATGTGCAGGGTAACAGATGTAACAGAATCAGTCTTGACTCACTCTTGACTGTGGCTTGGAACATGTCTCCAGCCTTCTTACCACTCGCCAAACTTGGACTTCTTCCTTAATGACCATACCTTTTGTATAGTTATAAACTATCATTATTGACCCTAGACAGTCTCTAGAATTATCAAGTATACTGAATTTTCAGAACCATACAGAGTTCTTAATATCAATAACAAAATCTTGGTGCATAGGTTTCTTTGCAGTTCAAAGGCCTCTTTGTACCTTGACTAATGGATAATATGGGGCACGATGCCAGGAGAGATCACCTGACTAGAGGCCAGATGTCACGAGATCTACCTTTGTCACATCACTCACTAGCGGCATGATTCCAAGCCAGTTGCTCAATGTCTTTCGGCCTCTGCCAGCTTCAACTGTTAAATGGGAAGAGTAGCAGTGACCTCACAGGGTTCTTGTGAGTGCTCCGTAACATAGGCCATGCAAAGCTAGTTCACAGGTATTCCACACCACACAAAAGAAAGAATGCCCCCCGGGTCTAGAGGTTAGCAAGCTACAGCCCACGGGCCAAATCCGGCCCACTATCTGTTTTTATAAATAAAGTTTTATTAGCACACCGCCACACCCATTCATTTACATGTTGTCTGTGGCAGCTTTCACCCCACAACGGGAGAGTTGAGTAGCTGCCATAAAGACCTTATGGCCTCGAAAGCCCCCAAATTTTACTATCTGGCTCTTTCTAAAAAGTGTTTTGCCAATCCCTGGTCAAGCATCATCAGCTAAATCCAGATCCCCACTCCTCAAAGCTTTATTCCAAGAGCCTCTGAAAAGGAGAAAATGGAAAATTCCTAAAAAGCAAGCAGCCCTTGCTTCCTGAAACAACACACAACAAAAGGAACTGATTTTCAAAGACTGCCTAATGGATGAACTGTCCTGTCACTGAAACGTATATTCTGGGCCAGGTATGGAAAGCAACTCTGGGAGCTTAACCACTGAGTGGGTTTCCCCGACATGGTTAGTGAGACGCTCTGAACAGGTGCGCCAATATGACCGACTACATTACATGTGTGGCCTCACGAATGGCTTCCTGGGGATGGCACTGGGTTGGGGTCAAGTTACTTCACTCGAAGACTCATTTCCGCCTTTTGGAAAAGGCAGGTAATAACACCTGCCCCACAGGTGTGTAGCGAGGCCACGAGGAAGAAGGGCACAAGCTGGAAAAGGCTTCACGAATGTTAAGTGTTACGTTTAGGTTTCGGAGCCACTGCCACTGTTCAGTTAGGGAACAGCTTTGTTGCCACTAAGTCAGCACTCGACTTCTTGAGGAATTAAGGAAATTCATTTTGTGTGTCCCCAAAGAAAATAACCACCCTTAGAAAATTCTGATAAAAAAAAACTTGCTGTCAAAGCATGTTTTTCTCACCACCTCTCCCTTTCTCTGAAACTAATTTGTGCCTCATTCTCTAAACCTCTGACCCCTGTTCTGTCTTCGTTCGGAGCAAAGTCTTTGCTCCATCTATGCAAGGGTTTATTAGAATTCACTCCCAGCCGGTATCTATTTATCTTTGTGTGTTTAATTATTTTCCACTTAGAACAAGAAACTGCATAAGCACCTAGACAAGTTTCTGCTGATTAGTGCAAGTCATCTTTACTCCAGAAAGAGAAAAATCCCTTATGAACTTCCAGTAGTGACAAGAGAAAGGTTAGAACACGTCACAACCTTGGGTGCCTTTCAACAGATTTCTCTCTGATTTCATGAAGCTCATCATTCCCTAATATGACCCAGATAATAATGTCTACTGGGGAAATTGAAAATATAAATAGAAATGAAGTAAAGGAATCTTCCTCTAAAAGAATATGAAAAGTATTATTCCATAACTGATTGAATGGGCCCTGGGGACTCTGGATTGGGAAGAAAAAAAAAAGTGATAACCGTCATTAAGAACCCCACTTGGTGCTACTGTATTTTTCATACGCACATACAATTATGGTTTCATTACGCCAGAGCCTTTTTTTGATTAACAATAAGTGCAAGGCTTTCAAACCTAAATGTGTCACTCTGAGTTTCTAGGCAAAGACTTCAAGCCTCCTGCTTGTTGGGAGCGTTTGCTTTTCCAGCCCAGAAGATAGCATCTGCAAACGTCTGTTCGGAAGGGCCCCATTGGGTGTTGGCCATTAAACGTTGATGTAAATGTTCACATGAGAAGCTGAATTGGGCGTGGACGGCTCACAGTGAGGTTAGAGTCGAGGGTCTGAGAGCCCGAGAATGGTGATTAAAAAATCACATGGCCGTCACAGGGCTCCTCCGTGGAACGGTCACCTGTAAGGCTGATCGAGTACAGGAGTGGTGGGGCCGGCGGACAGCTGTCTCGTGAGAGTGACTGAAGTAGCAGCAGACGGGGGGGAGGGGGAGGTCTAGTAACAATAGCCTGCCTTTATCTAGCACTCACTAGAGCTAGGACCTGTCGTGCGTTTGCATAGCTCATTTAATATTTACAATAACCGGATGCGCTAAAAAGCGCCTCGTGGAAACTCTGTTGCAGCTAGTGGTTTTTCGAATGAAAGGACAAGCAGTCCGTTGTGAAGAGCCTGATTCCAAAGAAATGACCTAGCTTTTCCTGGTGGTGTAGTTAGGCAGCGGGGTAAGTGTGGACGGAGCCCCGGGACTGGGGAGGGAGGGGGGAGCTCGGACCACGGGCCCCGCGGCAGCAGCTGCACCACAAAGCACAGCCCGGGCGGCGGGAGCGGCGCCGACACAGAGAAGGCACCCCGCGCGGGCGCAGGGGGCCCCTCTCCGAACTGCCCTCGCCGTCCTGAACACAACAGGGAGCTTTTACCAAGTCCTTGTCGCTGTCCTTCGTGAACGTCTTCTCCTTCTCGTCTTCGTTCTTGGTCCAGCTGTAGGAGATCATGTAGTTCATGATGGGCGGGTGGTAGATGGTCTCCGGCTGGCTCCACGACACCTGCAGCGCCGTCTGGTTCAGAGGCTGCACCTTCATGTGGATGGGCGGAGAACTGCAAACTGAAGACAGCACACGGCCACGCTCAGGGACCCCGGGCGCAGCACACGAGTCCATGCTCCGCCCGGAGTTGCTACACATTCCAACCTCCGAGGGCTGGCACAGGAGTACTGGAAAGAGCCAAACTCCTTCCACCCAGATTCACCTCCTGCTAACAGTTTGCACCTCTGTGTTCTCCCTCCCTCCCTCCCTCCCTCTCTCTCTCTCACACACACAATTGTTCTGCAAAATCACGGAAAGCAAGTGGCAAACATGCTGACACGTCACTCCTTAATACTCGGGCCTGCATCCCTTCAGAATAAGGCCATTCTCTTCTATAAGTGCATTGCACTGCACACTTGCATTCCCCTCCCCAAATTCATAAGCTGAAGCCTCAATCCTCATGTCATGATATTTGAAGGTGGGGTCTTTGGGAGGGAACTGAGTCATGAGGGTGGAGCCCTCATTATGAAGGGGATTTGTGTTTTTATAAAAGAGAACCCCTTCACCCCACCAGCAGACCGCCGTCTATGAACCAGGAAGTGGGCTCTCACCAGACAGCAAATCTGCCCGTGTCTTATCTTGCACTTGTTGGTCTCCAGGACCATGAGAACAAAGATTTCTGTTGTTTATAAACCACCCAGGCTATGGTCGTTTGTTGTAGCAGCCTGAGCTAAGACAATAACCATAATAGCGTTATCATACCTAAGAATATAAACACTAATTCAATAATACGATCTGAGGGGCGCCTGGGTGGCGCAGTAGCTTGGTTTCAGCTCAGGTCATGATCTCAGGGTCGTGGGATTGAGCCCTGTGTGGTGCTCCCTGCTCAGCAGAGTCTGAGATTTCTCTCTCTTTCTCCCTCTGCCCCTCCTGGTCTCTCACATAAATAAATAAATAAATCTTTAAAAAAATAACATCTGATATATAGTCCATATTCAAATTTACCTAATAGTGTGCAATGATTATTTCTAGCCATTCCCCCTCCCCCCCAATTTCATGTTGTATTTAGTTGTCACAACACCTTAGCCTCTTCAAATCTACTAGAGTCCCCTGGCCTTTTTCTTTCCATGGTGACTTATTTGAAGAAGCCAGGCCATTTGATTTGTGGGGTATTCCAACAAACTGAAATTGTAGATGCAATTTGGCTGTAAATAGTTCAGAGTATAAACAAATATAATTTAAAATGAGACTTTAAAGAATTTTAAAGCAAAGACACAAAAACAGGGATGATTTTCCTCTGGACTGGCAGTACCTCGTGTAATTACCCTGATGAGGAGCCTGAGGAAAAGCCAGGCAAATTCTCCTTTTCACCCCTTGTGGCTGGCAGGTTTGGAGGGAGGTGGTTCTCCATCTATCGACAGACAAGGCCATTCAAGGGTCAACACTATCAAGCTGGCCTTTAACAGTGTGACATAGGCCTTCAAATGTGTTCTTTCCCAGTGGCCATCATTCCTGCCTCCAGGGGGCTTAAGTCTAACAGCAGGGTTTCTGAGCCTCAGCATTACTGACCTTGGGCCAGACAATCCCTTGTTTTTGGGGGGCTGTCACGTGCACCGTAGGATGTTTAGCAGCATCCCTGCTCTCTACCCAGTAGATACCAGGAGCACTCCCTGCCTGAGTTATGACAACCAAAAAGGTCCCTGGATAATGCCAGATGTCCCCTGGAAAGCCAGTCGCCCCCAGCTGAGAACCACTGGTCTAAAGAGGGGGGAGATGGGGATTCAGCAAAGAATGACAGGTGCAGCTGGTATTACACACCTGGACAGAATGGATGCATGTGAGGAGAGGTACGTGGTGTTTTCCAAGCACAGTAGGGGAGGATCTGGCTCAGGTTTTGCGAGCGACTCTCCTGAGGAAGGCGCATCTGCCCGAGAGCCGACAGGTGAGTGGAGGTGAAAGGGTTGGGAGGACGAGAGGGCAGGTCAAGGGACTATAGCAGGGGGAAGGCCTGAGGGGCCAGAAGGAAGCCAGCAGGGCTGGATCCAGGCCCAGAGAACAAGGCAAGAGGCAAGCAGTGACAGGGGCAGCTGGAGTGAGAGGCCTCACACCCCAGGTGCAAAGTCTGGTTTTTATCCTATGAGCACTGAGAAGCCACTAGAAAGAACTGAACCAGAGAACGATGCAAGCAGGTTTGCACTTTTCAAGATCCCTTGAGCTTCTACCTCCAGGTAGCAGAACCTGGAGGAGCCAGGAGTGAAGGAGGGAGGTGGGGGAGAGGTGCTGCAGGGGGTCAGCCTTGCAGACCAGAGAGAGGGTACGAGAACAGTGGGTTCTAGAGCAAAGAGAGGAAAACTGAGAGAGGCCGAGTGATGTGCTGGACTAGGAAGGGTGTGAGGGAGAGGGGAGCAGTGAGGACCATGCTCAGGTTAGGGGTGCAGGAGGTGAGCAACACTGGAGGACGTGGGTCAGGGGACCATGGCTGGGTTCTGGCATCTCCCAGAAAATCAAATACATGGCAAGCATGTATTTGATTTTCTGCGAGCCAGACTCCGTATTTTCTAAACAAGAGCCCCAAGCCCAAGGCTGCCCAGTGTAGCAGGATGGCTTTCCTGCCACAGAATCATGGGCCCAGCTTTAAGGACCTGGCTGCTGGAGACAAGTGGAGATTGATTTTGACAGGGAGGCATCCTTTTGCTCTTCAACTGCCAAATCACGCTTCAGCTGGAGAGATTCACTTTGTATGACTGAGACAGGAAGGAAGAAATAAATTAATGAGACATTCCCACTGCCCCGCAGAACCCCGGGAGGCTTCGTGCTGCCTGCCGCGCAAATGCCACCAGCCCAGGGACATCAAACAAGGGATCTGAAGGGAGGCTTCCAGCGGGACGCGGGGATGTAATGACAACATGAGGACACTAGGTGGTGCTAACATACCACTTTTAAATACCCCAATTTACTAAGTGGCTGGTAGTTTCTCATGACCACGGGGGTGGGGGGGGCAAGAATCAGGAAAAGATCTACACCCCATCTTTCCAGGTGCCAATAATGAGCCAAGGAGATTCATGTATTAGAAAGCTTCTATCCCTCACAATGACGACCGTGTCAGATTTCCTGATTTCTACCTCTCTTCTCACATCCTACCATGTTCTTATTTAATCTCCCTTATTCTGAAGACATCACTCCTCTGCTCCAATTAGTGGTGAGCTGTATGGGGATACATATATCTCCAACAGTTACATCATAACCACACAAATAATTCTATCACCCACATGCGGATGCAACCATTCTTCTTATTTATTCTTTGAAATTAAAATAGCTCGGTTTTCCTTTTGATTAAGATGATTCATGTTAATGTTTTTAAAAAGAAACCCAAGTAATACAAAAAGAGAAGAGAGCTTAAAAAAAATCATCCAAAATCCCAGAATCTAGAGATAACCACTGTTCACTTTCTGGTGATCTCCTATTTAGGTATCTATTCATATACATGGAAAAGCACACACATACAATTTTATGTAAATGGGATGTGGTTTTACATAATAGTTGTTACATTGTTGTTGTGTTTTACCCAGTAAATCATGAAAATATTTCCTTGTCAATAAAGACGGCCTGGCATTACTGTTTTGAATGAGGGTATAGAGGTAGAGAACTCCACTGTCAATGAACTAGAAGAAAAAAAAAAATATATATATATATTTAAAATTGAAGCCTTTTATTTAAACTAGCACTTAATTTTTTAAATGCTGAGATTATCATTTTGGAGAATCTGTGGATCACATGACAACTAGGGAGAATCTCTGTCCCACAGGACCTTTGTAAAAAAAAAAACAACTATTTTTATTTGAGTAGAATTGACATACCATGTTACATTGTTTCAGGTATATAACAACGTACGAGAAAATACTGAGTGAAGCTCACAAAAAAGGCAGGTCTGGCCTCTAAGGAGACCATCTAATGGGATTGAAATTCAGTAACTGAGGGGTCCCCAAAGGTCCGCGCTTGTCCCAGACTACGTACTCAGTCTTTGAAGTGCAAAACCAGCTCAGGCAATATGTACAGGAATGAGCATGGCTGCATGCCAGTAAAACTTTATTCATGGACACTACCTTCCAATTTCATATGATTTTCTTTTTTCTTTTATGTTTACTTGCACAGCTACTATTTAGATACCAAGTCATCTATAATAGTCATTTTTTATTCTATTTATTTAAACTTAAAAAACGTAGTTCACACATGGGTTTTCATGTGTTGGGAAATCTTTTGATTGTTTTTTTTTAACTGTTTATAATAAAACAATTATTCCTAGCTCATGGTGGTACAGAAGGTTGTGGTCAAGTTGGCCCATGGGTCAGTGGTCTGCTGATCCCTGATGGAAGATAAAGGGAGGCCAAACTTTTATCTGAAGTATGTTTGCCACCTGCATTTGCATTCTTAGCACTGGATTCTGCCCCTCCACGCAGCCTGAGAGGCCGACTCCTCCATGGAGCTGAGACTCTTTCCTAGCACTTACTACTATGTGGAATTATATTACTGACTTCACTGATTACCTGTAATAAATAATCCAGCTGCCCACTAGAATGCAAACTCCTCGAGGCTGGTACCTTTTCTGTCTTGCCTGCCACATTATCCCTGGTGCTTACAACAGAGCCTGGCACAGAGCTGGCCCTCAGTACCATTGTGGCTGAAGGCATGGCATGTTGGGTGGACGGGCTAAATGCCTGATTCCCCTGGTGCACAGGGCCTGCGTGCCATCACCCCCTCCATGACTGCCATTTTCCTCCCCCCTTCTCTCTGTCCAGCAACCCCCCTCACCCCGGCCCGTCCTCCTTGAAGGTGTGGATTCAGCCTCACGCTTCCCCTCTGCCGTCTCTGTGCTTCCAGAGCTCCCCACTTCAACCTGCCCATCATGCATTGTCCCCATCAGCAGCCCACCTCTCCGTCTCTGTGACGGGGCTGCAGGCGCCTCCAGGGCAGAGACCACACTCTCCATCACTCATGCCCTCGACAGGGCCTCAAATTTCAATCACGGAACGAGGGAAGGTATTTAGCTCTTCAGTCAGGACCACTGATAAAGTTCCCATCT